GACAGGTTGAAATAATGTATGAAACTCAACTACTTTATTTTTATTAGACGTTGCTCCCAGAAGAAATTGAAACTTGGATATTGATCTTGGAAACCAGAGATTAAAATGAGCATAAATACTTGTGTGTAGCTAATATAGTTTTCTTCATAAATAGAAAATAATATTTGGTATATGACAAGTGACAGTTCAGAAAGTAACGTTTTCGAAAAACGTTTATATTTTTATTAGCACTTGCTCCCACAAGAAATTGAGACATGGACTTTGATCTTGAAAACCCAGAGATTAAAATGAGCATAAATACGTCTATGTAACTAATATAGTTATCTTTATAAACAAAATATAATATTTGGTATTTTGAATTTTGCGCCTAATGTATAGACAACTCAACATACAATTTTCTATATACTACAATATTCTCCCGAAAGAAATTGAAACATGGAAATTGATCTTGAAAACCCAGTGATTAAAATGAGCGTAAATACTTGTATGTAGCTAATATAGTTTTCTTCATAAACAGAAAATAATATTTGGTATATGACAAGTGACAGTTCAGAAAGTAACGTTTTTGAAAAACGTTTATATTGTTATTAACAGTTGCTCCCAGAAGAAATTTAAAATTGAACATTGATCTTGAAAATCCAGAGATTAAAATGAGCATAAATACTTGTGTGTAGCTAATATAGTTATCTTCATAAACAGAAAATAATATTTTGAATTTTGCGCCTAAGGTTTAGACAACTCAACATACAATATTCTATATACTACAATTTTCTTCTAAAAGAAATTAAAACTTGGACATTGTTCTTTAAATACTCGAGTATAAAATTAGCATAAATACCAGTTTGCAATTATGATTAGTTTTTTTGTTATCTGAAAATAATATTTGATATACGACAATTGACACCTGCCCTGATTTCCATAAAGCCTATAGTTCAGGCATAGTTGCGCTGTTCCAATTAAAAGTTTTTAATTAAGAAATTTAATTAGTTATCGAGTAGTCTAAAATGTTCATTATTGCTTTATCTATAGAAATATGCAAACATTTTAATGTATTATTAATTAATTCTTGAGTTACGATTGATTTATTATTACAATTCAGCGCCCCCTTTTGCTACGTTATGAAATTATCTATTGTATTTAAAATTTAAATTTAAAACTGGAATAATTCAATTAATTAAAACAATGAACACGCTTATAAATATTGGTGATAATTAATTATCAATTACGTTGTTTAAAATTTGATTTACATTTTCTAAATTAGTGAATACACGAAGTATGGGTTGCCTATACGATGAACGATCAATTTACCTAAGCACAATTACACAACAAAGAGATTAGGAAACACGCAAGATATGTAATTGACATTTCTGTTAGCACATTGTTAAATTGATAATTTACGGTTTGCTTTAGCAATCATTACTGGTTTAATCTAATTGTTTTTATTGATTTATTATCATTGCAATTGCTTTATTAGAAATGTAATCATTAGTTAAATCATTGTAATCATGCATTATTAACTACACAATAAGTTGTGTCTTATTTCGATAGTGGATTGTTTTGGCTATGATTGTTGTTTTTGACTTAAGCTATCTTAGCTTGATTAGATAGGCGATACAAATAATAACATCGTCGTTGTTAATGTAAATTCAACGCTCAAATTATTTTCTTTAACGTTTTTTTTTTGTTGATAGATTTGTTATATAATTGTCAGAATAATTGGACGTTTTTTTGTTGTTGTTGTTGATGTGTTGTAATTTTAGATTGGGGAATAGGTAGCAGAAATAAGTGATCACGTTACAAGTTCGCAAATTGCTGTAATGGCACGAATAATTGAGGAATGCGGTATAATGGTTATGCGAAGGAGAAGCGCTCGTTTTGGAAGCAGCGATTGCTGGTAAATGATGGAGCGCTATACGCAATGATTATGCGGAATTAGCATTGTTTATGTGTGCAGCCGATAAGGAGGTTCCACACACATACAAAAAAAGAACGTCCGGGGTCGAATTATCAGTCCGGGAGAATCCATCGTTTGGTGTAGCTGTTCAATATACAGAGACTGAAGGAAGAGATTTCTGTTGGATTGCATATCGATTATCGGCATTGAAAGTGTTGGATGTGCGGCGGCGACGACGACGACCTTAATTTAGTTGTCAGCGTTTAGAGCATTACATAAACTTTGGACTGTGTGACTCGTTCTGCTTTGCCGCAGCGGCAGACCTTGAATACGATCGTCGCTGTCGTGAATACTCACATACACACATAGTGAAGTGCAGCAGCAAGAATAACAACAGCCAGCTAAATATTTATATATATCTGGAAGATTTGCAGCTAGAGGAAGATGAATTTGTCGAGGTTGCGTTTGATCACGTTCGATGTGACGGATACTCTGCTGAAGTTCAGGTCGTCACCAGGTCGACAGTACGGGGAGATCGGCGCTCTGTACGGAGTCTTAGCCGATGACAACGCTCTGGCCGCCAATTTCAAAGCGCACTGGTACAAACTCAACAAGGAGCATCCGAACTTCGGCCTCACCACCGGCTTGGGATGGGATAACTGGTGGAAGCACATCATCGCAGGTACTTTCCAGGACTCCAAATTCAACATCAACGATAAGAAGCTGGACGCCATCTCCAAGCATCTCATCGATCTGTACAGAACCTCCAACTGCTGGCAGCAGTGTTTCGGCACGCTCGGACTCCTCACCTATCTGAGAAGCAAAAAGGTGCCGTTGGGCATCATCTCCAACTTCGATCCGAGACTCACGCAGACGCTTCAGAATACCAAACTTTTACCGCACTTCGGATTCGTCATCACTTCCTACGAAGTCGGTTTCGAGAAGCCCGACAAGAGGATCTTCGAGGAGGCCATGAAGGCTTCAGGTATTAAGGATCTGAAGCCGGAAGAGTGTCTGCACATCGGAGACACACCTATTCTCGATTACTTCGGGGCCAAGAACTGCGGCTGGAATGCCATCCTGGTGCACGACAAGAGCTACGAACAGTTGAAGGAAAAGTACGGAGACGTTGATAGGGAACGCGTCTTCGCCAGTTTATACGATCTGCATAAACATTTCGTCGACACTTCAGACGAAAAGTTTGTCAAAGTCGAAAGCAACCTTTAATGATAATTAATAATAAAACAAAACGTCTCCTGTATATATTACAACAAATTTTCTCTTTGTATTACCTACAACTGCATTTTTAAATAAAATTTTAATAAATAATTATTCCTGTTTTTCAACCTTCAAATTTAAAGTATTTGAACAACATTGATCACTTTGTTAATTCCATAGCAACATCTTTAAAAAAAAAATATAATTCTCTAATTGAACATTTATATTTAAGTAGAAATTGTAGCAAAAATTAGTCTTCATAGACTTTGTTAAAATTTCTCTAAATTTTTTCATTATAATTTAAAAATAGAATATTTAGATTAAAGTAGAAATTATAAGCAGTAATATTAGTCTATATGCACAAATGTGTCGATTTTAGTATTCTAGTAATAAACATTCAAATTTTAAGTAATGAAAAAGCTTTGGAAAATTAGTAGCAATAGATTTCTGTTTGTTAAACTATGATGAATAATATGAATCTATATACATGCATGTGTAACTTTTTGTATTTTTTGTAATATGGAATTAAACTTATAACAAAAGCAAATTACTGCAATAGAAATAAGACAAACCTACCTAATTCTAAAGAAAATTGAATGAAACGAAACGAAGCAGCGACATTTAACTTATATAGAAATGAATATGCTTCGCTTTACCATATAATTCCGTACTCGAATCTTGTGCAACTACTTGTAAAACTATTTAAACCGAGGACTGCTGCACGCGTTTCGTGCGCCGCTAAAACTTACTTCCGAGCACACTTCACGAAAACTTCCCAAACTCCGGAGCATATTTGTAATGCATGCATATTACAAAGCGCCTCCTCCTCCTCCTCCAGCCCTATTATTAAATATGTAACTTATTTAAGCACGAGACTGACAAAAAAAAGAGAAAATAAATGAATGGAACAATCGCGGATTGCTTAAAGTATATTAGGAGAGTCGCAATCGTGGGGGCCCTTTTAATTCCGACTTAATATTACGTAACAGACATTCTACTCGAGTCTCATTTCTTCTGGAGTTTCTTCTCTCTATCTGTGTGTGTCTCACCCCATGGTGCTTGGATAAATTCACGGTGCGTTGCAATTTCATCCCGGAATAAATAGGTCCGTGCCCCGCGGGAGCGAATTTAATTTAATACGTAAATTTAATAAAAATAAAACAAGGCGAACGAGTGAGGATGTAAAGAGGAAACGAGGTAACGAAACGGCGAATAAAATTAGACTTTGGAACGAGCTAATCCTGATCGATTTTCCAGCTATTCGCTATTAATCTCGTTATGTAAGAGAAGTGAGTAATAAAAAGATGAAAAAAGAAAAGGGAAAGGGAAACCTTTTAATCGATCCGGGTAAGCGAAACGTGTTTCCAATCGGTTATGAAATGCAGAGCGCTCCTCGAGAGAGGAAAAACTAGGAACGGTACGGTACCTAAGAGACGGTTACCTAATAAAGTGCGTGCTAAGCATTCATAAATATCCCTTTGATCCCCTTTTTGGGGCTGCAGCATCTCGCGCAAAACGGAACCCAAAGAAAAGAAATAATGTACATACACATACTTATATATATAAAAAAAGAGGAGATATGAAGGAAAGTCGTAAAAGTAAAAGTGAGCAAGTCGTAAATAACATTCCGTACGAAAAATCAAAGGGAGATTTTATTCGAAATTAGGAATTCGTGAAAAGAAAAAGTTTAAAGGTAAAATGAAGAGCGACGTAAATAATTGGATGCTTGATTTATTGTTTCTTTGCCGCAGCAGGAGGATGAGGATAGGAGATTAGACAAATGGCTTTTTTTTTTGATGCAATAAAATTTAATAAATTGCCGGCGATATTTGTTGCGTTTGCTGATGGCCGATGTTTTGAAGGTGATAAGTCGGCGAATCCACTTCGATCCATGACGATCAATCAATTATTGCTGTATTGAATTTCGCGACGGGCGTACGAAGAATCCTTTTACTTCTTCCTGCTTTATCGAATCGAAATCATACCCATACCTAACGGAAACGCAATGATTTACAGCGTTGCACTTCCCCATGGACAAATGCCATTACTTATACGATATTTAATACAGATTCCCATCTGAAGTTAATTTTTTTATAATAAGAGTAAATAAGGAAATGCAGAAACTGAACTTTTTTTTAAGTTACTCTGAAATACAACTATTACAATTATAACTATTATCATTTGGTTGTAATTCCAACCAGCATAATTACATTTATGCTTATAAAATGGCTGCAATAAGGTATCAAATTCGAAAAAATATGTTCTATTAGTCTTTACGTTTCTTTGTATTGCTTGATAATCATATACAAGCTAAAACTATAGGTATTAAAACAAATAATAAAATTAAAAAACAAATCTATATTGTTTCTATTAATATAAGCAGAAAATTGCGGACGCCCAATAAAACGCTCCAAATGGAAAATTAGAAACTCTTGCATATATCCCTTCCCGGTTCATCCAGTTTCAAATTTCGGTATAAGATTTCTCATTCGAAGAAATGAAATGAAATGCATTTAATGACCTGGAAATCTCGGTAAGCAAGAAGTTCAGAAGTTGCCGTTTCAAAAGTTATTAATTGAAGGAAACGAAAGCAGATGTAGATTCGCATCCTCGCGCGAGAAGGGAGGAAAAAGGAAAGATAAATAATATAAAAAAAAAGAGGAGTGAGTACTTTAGCAGCTTTGATGTTTCCGCTGGGGCGTTGTAAATTCACGGACTTCCTCCTGCAAACCGTTTTTTGATATAGTAGCTATTTCATTTTCATTTCGAAATTTCTCTCCCCTTGTTAAATGCACCGTTTCTGGAAAACTTTTAACTTTTTCTCTTTCCCTTTGTCGGAGGATGAAACAAGATAACTGTATTTATGTTCTTTGAAAATAATTGTTTTCTAATTGCTCTCTCGCTTTAGTTTATTTACGTAAGTTAAGCAATGTTCGTTGGGAAATTTATTCGCATGGATTGTTGAGGTCTCTCTTTCTTAGAAGAGATGAGCGAAAGTGGAGAGTACTAATTGAGGTTTATTTAGGAATTATGTAAATATGGAATCGAGTAAATGGGGTGGATGAAAAATGAGATATTTAGAGGGTTCAGCTGAATAATAAATATGCTTTTAAGATGATTTTGTATATGCTTAATGAAATACGGTGGCCATCTGATGGAATGGAATATATTCTAAAATGCTTGGTGCGTTATAAATTTACGTTGGTAGGAGGAGGAGGTTTGAGTTTGGAAGGGTGATTACATTAATATCTCCTCGGGGCCGTAATGTGACTGCATAATAAATTTCCACCTGAAAAATAATGCATTTCCGCGCGCAAACTGCCGAATTATGATAAAGGCTGTTCTGCCATTGAATTTATCGATAATAAATTATTAAAATTGCGTCGCTTCCCCGCAACGATAATTAAACGCCCCAGTTTTCAATTAAAAATTGTGTGTGTGTGCGCGTGAGAGAGTGGAGCAATTAGAAAGTAATCGATGCCTCCACTACACACTACATCATTATTTATTGTCTGGCGTTCCCATTCGAAACGTCCCTTTAATCGCCTCTTATCTTGTTTGATTTGCAATCGAAACGGAAATTCGATCGACCTGTTATTAATCACTCGCATTTGCATGTCGAGTTTGTGGGGCAAAAAAAAATAGAAATGAAGAAAGGCAAATCATTCTGCGGTTCTATATGTATTCCAAACATGAACGGAATTTCCATTTGAACGATTGGATTTTCTCCGACAAACGTTCTTTGTTAAAATATTTCTTCTGCAAAGATTTGGCCAACAACACGAATAATTTTAGTATTTCCATCATATATATGGATTACAGTTTAAATTATTACAACGAATATTTCAATTTTACATTTGTATCAACTTTCAATAATTTTGATTTAAAAAGTAAAAAAAAATAATATGAGTCTAATTGTTTTTATTAATGATTTTACTATGGAAATTTACTGTAAATTATATGAGAAACTGAAATACTGTAACATTCGAAATTCTAAGAGATTTCTAATATTTTAGTAATTTGCTTTGAAAGTTCAACTTATGTAATATTAATTTATGTATATAATTAATCAATAGAATAACATATGCATTAATAACGTTAATTTTAAATTAATTTGAGTATTTTCCATCCAATTACAATTTCCGCACGAATCACTCCCATAATTACAATATTTTCATATACTTCGTTTTTTTATATTGTAACGAATTCATTTGATACAAATACATTTCACGCAAAGTTGGATCGAATTTGCTTAAATTTTCGGAGTGTAAACTAATCTGCTTCACGTATTAATAAAAATCGGTCAGTAAATTAATAATAAAAAAAATGATTGAAAATTTACACACTATAAATAAAAAAAAACGAAAGAAACAATGAAATAAAATTGAAACAAACCGGACGAATATATTTCACGTTTATCGTCCGGAATTAATATAATTCCGACACCGAAATGAATAACTCCCCCATTATCTTCCGCATTTTCGGTGAGAATTTCGCGACAATTTATCGCGCCAAAAACTCTGATTCGATGAACAAATACGCAATTAATTATGACGACATTCATTTTAATTTACAAAAAAAAAAAAAAACTTAACAAATTTTAATATTAAATCATACTTTGTTATATTTAAATAAATCATGGTGATGTTAAATTTATTAAAAAAAAAATTTATTCATCAACATTAATTTCGAACGAATCCGTTTTAATGATGGAATTATTTAAACTAGATGTAATTAGCATCAGGTTTTGGTTGGAATATTTATATAAAACAAATATAAATGAGCATTTATGAAAATGCGTTTAAATGATATTGTAATTGTGAGAAAAGTTCGTTGTTTGGTGGAATAAATTAGTCGGAAAACAGTAGGGGTGAGTAACAAGTGGAGTGGAACTATTTCAAATATTATTAGCATTAAGTGCATAAATTTCTGAAACTATGCATATAAATCAAGTGGTACGGCGGCTCGAAACTAATTCGAAGTAATTTATAAGTGCGGGGCGGCTTTGAATTCGATGTTGTATGTTGAGGAGGGAAGTTGAGGAGGGTTGTAGGTGTGCAATTTTCAGCTTAAGCAATTG